GCTGAAGTCTCTGTGTTAATAATTTCGGATTCGTTTCTATGGTTTCTTCTACCAAACGGAGATAACGAAGGTTACAAAAAAATAAAAAAAAAATTCATTACCATGCGCCGCTTTTTTTGCAGCATACATGTTGGCCTCTTCCTGCGCTTTCGCAATGTTCTTCTTGTACCGTATTCGTTTGTTACCAAACCAGTTGGAGACCTAAATTTAGTAGTTAGCAAATAAAGCAAACGTATCTATTGCACCTTCATGCTGAACTTAAAAATAATGCATGAAAATGCACCAAAAAAAAAAAAAAAATAAATTTTGAGGCGAAAGAAAAGTCACGAAACGTCAAGAACCTGCCATTGCGCTAAATCCACCGCCACCTTTAATTTGAGGAGAGTTTATGCAAATTTATTACAGTGATACTACAAATTTATGTAATTTCAAGCAAATTTATTACTATATTTAAAGCAACCTGTGAAACGGTGATTTGGCATTGCCGTGCCAATTCCTCTTTCGCTTCCTCGGATGGATAAGGGTTACTTAGGTGTGAATAAAAGTATTCGTTCAACACTTCTGTTGCTTGCTTACTGAAGTTCCGACGTTTTCGCCTGAAAAACATGAAAGTTTTAAGAATAAAGAGTTTATTCGTTTCATCTTTCAGAGAGTTAACTTCAGTTTAAATTCTAAAAAAAACAACTCTCTTCATCCTCCCCTTTTTTCCCCTTCTCTGCCGTCCGGTCCAAACTCCCAAAAACTGGTTTTCCTTGCTAAAATATGCAACCAGTAAGGATGAATGATAAGTGTTTTGGAAATTTTTTAAGATGCAAACATTGAAAAATTGTGGCCGCTAGAAAGCCGAATCGTAGGCTTAAAAGTGGATGGCCCAAACAAATAATAGTGTGGAACGGCCGGAGCAGATTAAGACAAACATGGGATACAATTAACAAAATAAATTGAATTGCAGCTATTCTAAATGGGCCGAGCCGTAATTTCTGAAACAAACGGGCAGCCCGAACCGTGAATTCGCGACATGCAATGAAAGAACCAGTCAGTATGCAATCTGTGTTTCATCCCTTAGCTGTAAACATACTACAAGTGATATGTGTGCAGGCTGCAGTTGTGAGACCACAGTCTGTCTTGTTTATCAGTGAAAGCTCAAAGCGTAACTTAAATGCACATGGATTACGTGCCCTCTCTTTTGATTCATTTCTTCAAAGTTTATGCCCTAAATTTTATCATTATGCATGCACTACGCATAATTAATATAATATCACATGATGATTTATTGCTTTTTGTTAAAAATTACGTAAGGAGCAATTGCATCATGGCATGCATACTAGTCTAACTCGCTAAATTTGAGGTCCTGATAATATTTTACACGCTCACATCCCAATACTATGCAACTAGTAACTTTTACAAATACTTTTCCAGCTGTAGCGCTTAGTATTCCCAACAAACTAACAAAATGCTGGATGCTCCTTCTCTTATACCCCCAGTGCTGGCCATAGGTCATCTTCAAGTTTTGAGACCGAAGACCCCTCTACATCCGCGATACGCAATCAAGGCCCTGTTGCTGAGCAGTTTTGCTTGTCTCACCGGTCAGATCCTACCTATGAACGATTCTCTTACGTCCTAACTTGCCGGTTATCATCATACACGTTTATTCATTGTGAACCGTTTGAGCAAAATTACCTTGCATCGAGGAATCGTGAACGAAGAATCATCACTGCTTCACAAGTTGACTGCTTCAACTGTACCTAAAAAATTTGCCAACTCACATTTTTTCCAGTAGATTAGTTCCCAAAATTTAACATTTTTCAACTAAGCACAATAATAAAATAAAGTACTTGATCGGTAAAATATTTCACAATGGCCCGAAAGAGAGGCAAAATTCCGGACCAAGTAAATGACCAACACAAAAACACCAAAGAAATTTGAAAAAAAAAAAACCAAATCTTTGTCAAATGCTTCTGTTACATTAATCATTGTGCTTGTAATGCCCTTAGGACGAAACGCCTCAATGCGATGATTATATTTAAATACCTGCCGTTCTTGTAATTCCAGAGCCAAAATCTCGCCTACAACACTCTCAGAACCCAAAAATAGTGTGCAGCGTGTTGAAAAACAAACATCGATCACCCGTTAAAACGAAACCTCCGAATTTTTTGAAAATTTTTTTTAGAATTAAGCTAGTGGCCCAAAATGTGCCAAGCATCATTTTAATAAGATAAATGTAGTAATCATTTTTGCCACCGACGAAATCGAACTACAAAACCAGATCCTAAATTTACAGCCATACAAAGTTTAGGAAAAAAATCTACTTTAACTCGAAAAAAAAACCTGTATTCCGGAGAATTTCTTCTGTATAATTGCAACCATACGTTCAATTTCTTTGTTTGCAATTGGCCGTGTTCGACTCTGCTCGCGTAACAATGATACAACATGTTGAGTGAATTCTTGACAAGCCTATAAGGTAAAAAAAAAAGTTAATTTTTTTATCCTGTTTATCTGAAATAACAAAAACTGAGGAGGTAAAATCCCTCGATCGCATCTTTTAAAATAACTCAATTTATGGTGGAAAATAAAGAATTCCTCATTTTCCTCAATTCAATATGGCAAACGTAAACTGAAAAGTCTGTTGCACAAGAAGAGAAACATCCGCTACTTCACGATCTGCTGTAGGATTACATCGAAAACTTTATTTTACAAATAAAAAAGAATCTTCCTCCCTCATTTCCCTCATCTTTCCCAAGTAATTATAAATACTCGCATTCATTTCCCTCATTTTTTCCCTCTAGCCCTCTTTTACCCCTTTCAAAACCTCACAGTTTGAAACATTTTTCAAGATCGACTTATTTTTCATGTGTTATTTTTCCCTCTATCTCATTTTTATCACTTTTTTACCTCGCAAATCTGAAACATTCTTCAAAATCGACAAAAATTACCTCTTCGTATTTGCGCAACTCTTCACTGTACACTAATCTGATCTGTGTGAGTTTTTGTCGATAATCTGCTTGATCACCACCGCCAGCATCTCCTTGGACTGGTCCACGATTATCCGGACCGGCTACACCTTCAGCAACCTGAAATCAAAAAAGCATTCTGTAGTCTGTGTGGTTAATATTGTAATTAACACTAATTATTATTATTATCATCATTATTATCATTATCATAATTATTATCATCATCATTATTATCATTATCATTATTATCATTACCATCATTATTGTCATTATTATTATCATTATCATAATCGTTATCATTATCATTATTATCATTATCACAATTATCATTATCATCAATATAAATACATAATCAAGAAAAAGTCAAAACTTCCTCCATAAACGCACTCCATGAGAGGCTGAGGCACTCGAGAAGTAGCTCGAATGATAGTAAACATAGGCGGATCCAGGGAGGGATTCACTCAATATATTGGATTTATACCTTAGTACACTGAATTCATACCTTATCATAGTATAAGGTTTTACTATAGCCTCGAAATCCAAAACATATCATTATCAAAATCAAAAAAATCTCCAGCTTACCAGCATGTTATCTAATCGCATCAACTGTGGATCTTCTGGTGTATCTTCTTGACCGCCACGTATTGAAAGCGCTAAAATTTACCAAACCCTTTACTGCTGACAAAAAACTGTACATTAATAACAGCAATACAATACCTAAAAATATGTTTCTTTCGAACTATTCAAAAAAACTCTGGCATTTTAAAATATGTAAAAAAATTTAATAATCCCTTAATTTAAATCAAAAATAATTAAAATCCTTTCCATGTTCACTTTCTCTGAGGCAGAGATATTTGGAAATATTTCGCGAATGTTATTAGCAAAAATTAAAAAGGTAAATATATATTTTCCTAATTTTTTTCAAAAAACAGAAAAAAATTTGGAAGTATTTTGAGAATCATAGCAAATATTATCCGCAGAAAAAAATAAAAAAAATATTCCCAAATTATACCAGAAAAAAAGATTACCGGTTTTTTCTTTGATTTCACAGAGCACCTCAAAAAGCGCATTTTTCATACGATGATTTTGCAGTTGCTGCTTCCTGAAATTGAGAATTCGTTAATTTTTTCCTAATTTCGAAAATTCAAGCCAAATTTATAGCAGTGGATTAAATCCTCGCTATTTTTTATCCATTTTTCAACATTTTTTTATCTTTTCTACATATGGTAAAAGCGACCTTATTTCGAGATTTTTACTCACAAAAAAAGCAGCAATTCTCACAAAAAATATGTTGGATATAACCTCAGTTTTGAGGTTCTGGCATCCTTCCTCGATATGCGAACAAATAAATTGGGCAAGACGCAAAAAATCAACTTTTCTCGTGTAATTTTAGGCTTAACTCCGCTACACTCGTTCTTTTCCATGGAGAAATACTTGTTATCCTTTCCCGCAAATAATCCCATAACGCATTTATGCAATTTTTCACCAAGTTTTTTGCCCTAACCATTTTGCTCAACGAAATTTTTACCTTAAAATAACAAGATTTGTGCGTGATTAGCTAAAAAAATTCGTCAATTTTCATAAAATTTGTTTCGAAGTAAAAAACCTCGCATTTCTCTCCTAAAACCTCATATTAAAACAATTTTTCACCTTTTTGCAGCGAGTTAAACTAAATTTCGTAAGGGATGGGCTCATTAACATCTACGTGGATGAGGAAAATTCCCCTAAAATTACAGTCTTCTAACTTCTCAGGTTCCCGAGTTGGCAAATTACGAAAAAAACTTTCGCGGGCTCGTACGTGGGTACCACGCACATCCACGGGCTGGGTTTGAGCTCATTAATATCTATTTGGACGAGGAACGTCCCCTTAAAATTTCAGCTTACCAGCATTTTCGGTTCTCGAGTTAGCAGCTTTCCCGTAAAAAAGTTTGGCGCGCCCGTAAATGAGTGCCAAGCGGGCAAGGGCGCCAATTTTGGCGATTAGGGATTGTACGTGCATGTAGATTAAGTTCCCGAAGTTTCAGCCCTGTAGCTATTATAGGTCTTGAGATGAAAAATCGGTACAGACAGACAGACACACACACACCAGATAACTCCTTGTCAATATGCATTTTCTGCATTGCACAGATGCAAAAAAAAAA